GTTCGCTGGAGAGATGATTCAGCAGTTAAGAGCACTGGCTGTTCTTGTAGAAGGCTCAGGTTTGAATCCCACAAAGCAGCTAACAACCGTCGATAACCCCAGTTCCAGGAGCTCCAACACCCCCATCTGTTCTCCGCAGGTACTGCACGGGTTGCACTTACATATATTCAGGCATGACACTCATACACATAAAATTTTAAAATAGTAAAAAACCAAAAAAAGATTTATTCATATCTTTTAATTTTTATTATTTAAAAAATATTTTATTTATTATTTTTATTTTATGTGTATGAGTGTATTGCCTGCATGTAGGTAAGTGCACCCCTGTCGTGCAATGCCCCCAGAGGTCAGAAGAGGCTGTTGGATCCCCCGGGACTGGAGTTACGACATTGTTAGCTGGGTACTGGGATTCGAACCTGGGTCTTCTGCAAGAATAACCAGTGTTCTTAACCTCTGAGCCATCTCTCCAGCCCCCATTCATATATTTTTATATGCATGTATGAGTGTTTTGCCTGAATGTAAGTGCACCCATGCATCCAGTGCGGGAGGAAGCCAGAAGAGGGCATCAAAGCCCCTGGGGCTGGAGTTGTTGTCATGACTAGCTACCCACTATGCTGGAAATCAAACCCAGGCCCTCTGTAAGAGCAGCTGGTGCTCTTAACTGCTGAGTCATCTCTCCAGCCTTATAGTTTCACACTTTAAAGAGCTACATTTCAGGTAAGGTGGATTCCTGCTATTCACAGCAGGAAGACATTTACTGTCTCCCTTCCTAAAGACCACAGGGATCACTAAGAAATGGATCTTGCAGATCCAGGCGTCTGTTCTTAAGCTATTGCTATATGTTATAAGCAATCTATAAAATGGCTTTTGTAATTTTGATATATTACATGACCTCTACTATATTTATTGTGAATTTATTTACAACTTGGCTTTTTCAACCAATTCTGTTTTTCAGATCTATCCACATTGGTAGGCATGGCTGCGCTTCATTTGTTTTAATTCTATAATACTTTATCAAATAGGTTTGCTCTAGGGCCTGGAGAGATGGCTCAGTGGTTAAGAACACTTGCTGCTCTTCCAGAAGACTGGGGTTCAGCTCCTAGCGCCCACATGGTGGTTCACAACCATCTATAACTCCAGTTCCAGTAGATCTGACACACTCTTCTGGCCACCACAGGCACTGTATGCACGTGGTACACATAAATACACATAAAATAAAAATAAATAAATCTTGAATAAAAATAAGCTGGTCACAAATTGGGTGGAATTTCTATATTGATGAATATCTCTAAGTTATTTTGTTTTTATCACCATTTCAAGCAGTACCATTATTTTGAATTTATCACCATTTCAGGAAGTATCGTTATTTTTTATTTATCACCATTTCAAGCAGTACCATTATTTTGTATTTATCACCATTTCAAACAGTACCACAGAGTACATTGTTCTCAGTACATTTCTCAGGGTCTCCACTTAGCTAATTGAGAGTCTTCCATGTATGAGCAGAACCTGCCAACTGCTGATTCACATTCTATTTTAAATTTTTCCCAAAATTTTTGCTGACAGTTATAGTCAGAAGAATAAAAGAATTAGATCTTTGGCAGTCCATGAAAAATGAGATCAGATCTTCATTTAAAGCCCAGCAGCAGTGGTTCGAGATGACGAGCAGCTACGTGCTTCACATCAAGCCCTGAATTACTTAGTTCTTTGCCTTTAGTACTCACCTGAGCCCTGTGGCATTTGAGTTTACATTCTTTGATACACAATTTAGGAACATGGAAAAACACCCTTCTAAACTTGTATACCAAAATCCAGGTTGGCGGTCTGCACTTACAATCCCAGTGCTCAGAAGGTAGAGGCAACAGGATCAGAAGTTCAAGGTCATCCTCAGCTACATAATGAATTGAGGGTTAGCCTGAACTGCATGAGACTTTGTTACCAAATAAATAAATATCTGTGTATATTGCAAATATTCCGTTTTTTAAAATATGCGTATGAGTGTTTTGCCTGCACGTATGTAAGTCCACCCTTGTGCCCAAGGAGGTCAGAAGAGCGTGTTTACTGTGCTATTGGAGTTTCAGACAGTTTGGATTCTGGGCCTTAAACTCGGGTCCTCTGTAAGAGCAACCAGTGCTCTTAACTGCTGAGCCATCTCTCCAGCCTGGTATTCATGGTTTTGAATGCCTATTCTGAGTACCTTTTTTTTTTTTTTGGCAGGGTCTCCCATAGGCCCAGCCCATCTGGAACTCACTATGTAGGCCAGGCTGGCCTCATCACAGAGAGATCAGCCTACCTCTACCTTTAATCTCTCTGCTGAGATTAAAGGTGTGTGCCACCACACTTGGTGTTTGAGTCTGTTTTTGCCAGACACTGTAGGAGATCAAGATGAATTCATGAACAAAATGGGCAAGAGCCCTGTAGTCAGAAATGTACATTGGAAATTGATGGTAAATTAGTGAACAATTTCATTTCATGGTAAGTTCCCTGAAGTGATTTAAGGACACTGGGAATTCAAAAGGAGCCAGGTACAGAAGGAGTAGCAGGGAAGGCCTTCCTGAAAAGGTAATTTTGAGGTTGAGATGCAAAGTGCCCCACCCAGCCATAGAACGAACATTCTTGAACAAACCTATGGCTGAAGTACATACAGGTCTTAAAGCTGTTTGCTTCACAGGTTTGAGGAAGGGGTTTCTGTGTGCAGACTTAGACCGAGTTGTGAGTGGGTTGCAAAAGTACGATTTTTCATGTAATTTTTTTAAAAAAGATCTTGTTTTTAATTCTGGGCATTGTGTGTCATTGTGGTAGTATAGGGTGCAGGGGCAAGGAGAAGAGGCATCAGATGAGGTCCCCAAGGCTGGTGGGAATCAGGTCAGTAAGGGTTTTGTAAACCAAGGTAAGAAAAAATTTTCAATGTATTTGATTTTTTATTTTGTATGTATGAGTGTTTTTTGCTTACGCTTGCATGTAAGTGTACGATGTGTATGCAGTGCCCACAGAGGCCAGAAGAGAGTGTGGGTGCTGGGAATCAAACCCAGGTCCTATGCAAGAGCAGCTAGTGCTGTTAACCGCTGAACTAGCTCTCAGTTCTCAGAAATACTTAATAAAAAGCATCCAAGAGTTTTAAGGCTCTAATGATTTGAGTTCTACTTTTTTTTTTTTTTTTTTAAGAAAAGTAGCGAGGTAAATTTTAATTTTCGACTGGCTGGGTTGAGTTCTACTTTTATAAGATTATTCCATTAAAGAATGAAAAGGTGAAACCAGTTAGGGGAAGAGGCCACAATGTAATGCTGTCTTGACTTGTCTCAGAGCTGAGACCTGAAAGGATAAGTTATTTCAAAAATCCATGCCATAGTTTGGCTGCCTTTGTAAAACTTATACACACTCTGAGATCTCTGCTTTGAGACTGTCTCTAAAAATGGTGCTGGGAGATTGAGGGTGAACTAGCCAATGCTGAGGCCCTCCAGAGAATTCTACCAGTCTTGAAGAGATGAAAGACTTTTTGAGCACTCTTGTGACCTGCAAGTACTGAAAGGAGAGGCGACAGGGTGAAGCAGCCACGAGTCACCATTTCTCAAGAAGAATATATGGTGTCTCGGAGCACCTGGAGTGGGGTGAGTGGTCGAGCCTGGGCCTGGCAGACTCAAGGCCTTTGGTTTGATCTTTAACATCAAAAGCGTGATTGCTAAACAGTGAATCAAGAAAAACTAATCTAGG